TATGCGTGAGTCTGCACCTAACCTGTCACAATCCGGGAGTTTATGCGTGAGTCTGCACCCAACCTGTCACAATCCGGGAGATTATGCGTGAGTCTGCACCTAACCTGTCACAATCCGGGAGATTATGCGTGAGTCTGCACCCAACCTGTCACAATCCGGGAGATTATGCGTGAGTCTGCACCTAACCTGTCACAATCCGGGAGATTCTGTGTGAGTCTGCACCTAACCTGTCACAATCCGGGAGATTATGCGTGAGTCTGCACCTAACCGGTCACAATCCGGGAGATTATGCGTGAGTCTGCACTGCTGTCCTCTCCAACCCCTGGTAAGCTTGCAGCATCTCTCCCCTGCTAAATAATTTCCAGTAAATGACTACACAGAGTCAAGATAGTGGTGCAAATATCTATCTGCCTTAGCTATCATCCCATTAACTTAATGGAATTTGTAAGATACCACAGGCAACAGTGAAGAAAATCTTTTGGGTAGATTCCTCTCTCCATTTCCTACACCAATATTACCACCTAACTAGGCCTTAAAGCACACCAAGTGCAAGACCATTCTGAGAGAGATGTAAGAAGCCAGGCCTTTCGTGATATTTCAGAACACAGCTGGGCAGCAGGTAGTGGTGCTGGGCCTGTATGGAACATTTGTTTATTTGCTTATTTATTTGACTTTTGGTTGTTTTTTTTTTGTAGAACGGCCTAAAATATGGATTCCACGAAATCTCCGCCAAACTGTGATCAAAAGGGTTGGGGATTCAATAAACCTGGTTATTCCATTCCAGGTAAGCTATGGAACCATGGAAGCAAGAACTGGAAGCTGTTGCGTCGTGCTTGTATGGCAGACTGTGGGAATGTCACAGATGCAGAACAAGAAAACTAAGTAAAAAAGACTAAATCTTTAACAGAGCTTGTAGTTCTCATGTATAACTCATGTGGCTTTATTAACTCTCTGTTTTTCTCTGGTATAAATAACCACAGAGGCTCCAAACTTTGATAAAATACTCTATAATCACACAATACAGTACTGTCAGCATAATACCGTTTGTAGGTTTGGTATTCAGATTTAAATGATTGACTCTAATCTGCAGTACTGTTCTCAGGAAAATGCGGTCATGTGCCTTCTCATTGCAATGCAGGGTATTTCCCACATGTAGGAGTGATGTGTGTACGGCTCTGGAAAAGTCTGGGTGTTTGATTACCTAAGAACCGTGCGTATCTTTAATAAACTCTACACATCAAAGGCATCGTTAGTCCTTCAATAAACTCTACATATCAAAGGCATCGTAAGTCCTTCATATTAAAAAGCCAAAAGCACATTTGTGAGAGCTTCAAGAAGAGAATGTCAACAAAAAAACCTGTCAAGGACCTGGACTTCTTTAGCACTCTAGCTGTTACCAGTTTAGCACTCTAGCTGTTACCAGTTTAGCACTCTAGAAAGATGGAAGAAAATGACACGTATGATCTCTCATGGACAAACCCTGTGTCTTACATTTTCATTTGTTGTAAAACCAAATTACTTCTCAAGCACTTGCAGAGGTCACAGAAAGGCAGAGCTGGATAGTTCTAGACCAGAAAGTAAAAATCCACACCAAGATTTTTTTTCAGTCAATCAGTTGTGTGCTTTGTGAGTGTGACGTTTTACACTCAGCTGGTTGGTTGAAACAAAATCTTGATCTGGATTTTTACTTTCTGGACCTGAACTATACATTTCTGCCCACATTCCTGCCAACATTTTTCGCAGGGCAAACCTAGGCCCAAAGTCACCTGGACAAAAGAGGCTGAGCCTGTAGACCCCAAGCAGGTCAACACCCGGAACAGCGACACCGACACCATCCTCTTTATTCGCAAGTCTGAACGTAAGGATTCGGGAAAGTATGAGGTGCACCTGCAGATTGAGAACGTGGAGGATAGAGCAAGTATAACCATTCAGATTGTAGGTGAGCATTAATGCCCTTCATCTTGTCCTGAATGTCATCCAGTCACAATATAAGCATTTTCATTCTATTGCTTTGAAACCTTATTTTTTTAAAGCTAGACATTCTAGACCCCTAGGCAATAATATCTTGTATCTCTATATGTTACAATGGCTGTGGAGTACTGCTTAGTAACCAAAAGATTAGAAGATGTAATCCTGGTCTATATGAAAAGATGGAGATCGCTGTCAATTTTGTATTAATGCATAGGGAGAAGAGAAGGCAGTTATACTCAGTTCCTCCTACATTTCTTACAGATAATTTAGAACCCTCATTATAGAACAAAGGCAAACCTAAATAAAGATATCGTTGCAGAGGCAGGGCCTTCCAGGGATAGTCTCAGTCACTGTCTGTTCATTTGAAGGGAGAGCAATCAGAACAGCTGACTGAGCCAAGAGGGAGTGAACGCATGATCCTCTCGCTGGCCAAACTAGGCAGTGGAGTCTGAGGAAGTCCAGAAAGTCACATAAACTCTCGAATTAGCTTACATTTTTGCTACATTATTTGTCTGTACACAAACTCCAGGCCAGGGTAACAGGGCATTTTATGGAAGAAAATGTCTTTTCTCATAGACACCAAATAGTCCTGACGAAGGTGAACTAGAACTAGTGATACACACTTTAAAAAAGCAAAATGAAACAGACAGTGTATTTATCAATGCTGTATCTTACTCACAATTCTGATTTAACCACTTCAGACATTTTAGTAATGATGTTGCTTAAATATTAGAATTATAAATGCCAATGGTTTCCTTGCACTTGACAGACTTACCTGGCCCACCTGAAAATGTAAAAATCACAGATGTTTGGGGCTTCAATGTGGCTCTTGAGTGGAAACCACCAAAGGACAACGGGAACTGTGAAATAACAGGCTACACCGTCCAGAAGGCAGACAAGAAGACCATGGTAGGTGTGACAATGAGCACGCAACTCCTTCACCCTTAGTAGACAACATTTTTCAAACATCAGTTTAGACCTAGATGAGACATGATGTAAAACACTGCTGTGGAAAGATCATTTCTGTAGGTGTTAATTATGATGTTCTTGTGAATCCATGCTTTCACCAAAAAGATACCTCTGCTAATTCCAGGGTGACCGCCAGTCTTTCATACCATGAGTAGCTGTGAAAGTTCCCAGCGCTGAGCTATAATTGAAGGTGCATGTGCACTATGCCAGGGGCTAAAGCTGTGTCATTGTCAGGGGTATCTTTACCTCGCCCTTGTAGCCCTGCTGGCCAGAGGAACGCAGTGCTCTGTCAGCAAACTGACAGAGGCTTGAGTCAGAGCTATCCCTCAATCCCCGAGAAGACCCTCATTCTGTGTCTAAGCTGAAAGGTTCACACCAATAATCTCCTGGATTGTGACAGCCGGAAAATGTCATAATTTTAGGCAATTGTTTCCGTCAATGGAAAAAAAAATAAATTTAAAAGTGTGTTTTAGTTTTAGTCCAGTTTTTTTTTTTTTGGTCACACCGTACAACCAAACGTCATCCTGAACAGCTCCCCCCCCCCCATATTGCACAGTTGGTCTGTGGCAGCACTGCAGAGGGTGCAGGTACTTTTAAGGGGGCCCATTTAGCTCATTTCCTTTGTGCCTCTCGTTGGTTGATTGGCTGGCTTAGTTGGTGTCACCCTCAGAAGCTGCCGCCCCAACATCGTGTAGCTGATCTTTACTGCCAGCAGAGAGGGGGGGCCAGTACGCCTAGGGGTGCGTGCAAGCCATTTTTCTCTGATGGTGAGCACCGTGTGCACGTGAAATCGGCTGGCTAAGTCAGTGCCTCCAGACGTTGGTGCCCAAGGCAGCCGCTCACGTTACCTATAGGATCGACCAGCCCCATGCAGGAATTGAAGCAAAAAGATGTGGATCGATCGCTGCAGGACCAGGGAGTACGACAAATACAACCATGTGATCGCATGGTGATAGGAGGACGGAATAAGGGCTTTATTTGTATTGGAAATGGAACTAATAAAGTGGGCCGGAATTAAAATAAAGCACAGCTGTTTGGAGTCAACACCAGAGGGAAACATGCAAATAAATAAATGAATGAGTAAACAAACAGGCATTGTGCTGCAGAAACAGCTGTACCCCCCTGGGATATACCACCCAACCCATTTTGCAGAAATGAAACATGGATAGGGTGGAATGCCATGAACATATATTGAGACTTATATGTTAAGAATTGCTGCTGTAAGGCAGTCAGGAAACATATGACATACAGCCCAGTCTGAACTTTGATTTTCTCACTGAGAAGTTTCAAATTGCCATTTGAGAGCCATTACTAAAAACCATTAAGTGTAAGTGTCAAAGCACCTTCCTTTTATATATGAATATCTTTGATGTATTTTGATATTAATATCCATGTTATCTCACAATAATGTCTTATGATAGCAAGTTATATTCAACAGAAGCATTAACATGGTGCAAAACTCTGCTTGGTGCCTTGAATACGTATGGTCTACCCTCTACAGGAGTGGTACACTGTATACGACCAATACAGACGCACCAACTCTGTGGTGTCTGACCTCATCATGGGCAACGAGTATGTTTTCCGCATCTATGCTATCAACATGGTGGGTCTGAGTCCAGAACCCTGCTTCTCCAAGGACAGCGCCTACATCCAGAAAACAGGTTTGCTTAAAAGCTTCTGTCTTCAGAGACAGACATTCAACCATCTGTCAGCTCTTACTGAAGATCTAATAGACAACTATAGTAGCTTGTGTTCAGTCCAGATTGTAAATCATCTTTAAAAAAAAAAAAAGCGCATGGGGAGATAGGTCTAAATTTATCATATGCCCCCAGACACAAAGACAAAAAGAGGAAGAAGACTTTATTTCTACTGTTGTTCTCAGGAATTGTGTACAAACCACCCAGCTACAAAGACCCAGACTTCTCGGAAGCGCCGAAATTTACCCACCCCTTAGTGAACCGCTCAGTCATTGCGGGCTACAATGCTACGCTGAGCTGCTCCGTACGGGGGATTCCCAAGGTAAGATAGCCAGATCAGAATGACCAGTGATTATGCTTCTTTGTTCATTATTACAGTAATAGTAAACCAAAGCATTAGAAGGTGTATAAGTGATTGAAAGAATAAGAAACAGGCCCTTTTTTAGACCTGGAAAAATCGTACAACATATCGTACTACATTTCTTTTTGGTTCTGTTATCCTTTAGTTTGTATTTATATTCAGGTACACGTATATGAACATATCCAAACAACTTGTATATGTAAATCATGCTTCATAGATCATTCACATAATGGAAAGTGATTAGTTGTCTTCCTTGACACACCATATGACGACAACAAATTGTGTTCTCTGCATTTAACCAACATGTCACATTATGACAGCAGGGGGAGGTGATTCAGCACCCAGGGAGCAGTGCTTGGGGACAGTACCTTGCTGGTTGGGAATTCAAACCAGCGATCGTTCAATTACAAGGGCACATCCCTAACCATTAGGTCACCACTGCCACTAAGGGACTGTTCAAAATAATAACGATGAGAATAACGCACTTGGATGGGTGGATTTTAAATACTCTTTTAAACTCTTAGCCCAAAGTGACCTGGTACAAGAACAAGATGGACATCTCCAACGAGGCCAAGTACAGGATGTTCAGCAAGCAGGGTGTCCTCACTCTGGAGATCCGGAAGCCCTGTCCTTTTGACGGGGGTGTCTACACATGTAAGGCGGTCAACGACTCTGGGGAGGACATTGTGGAGTGCAAGCTGGAGGTCCGACGTGAGTATCAGCGTGAGCTTACAGTCTACAGGCCAGACATCACAGGCCAACCCAGCTTCAGCAGATCCTCAGTAAAATGCACAGTTTCTTACAGATAAAGTTGTGAAAGGCATTTATTGCACTACACTTAACCATGACCTACTGCTTGGTAAATGAGCTTTATGTGCATATTTGTCAAAAATGAAGTCTTATATGAAAGTGCATCTAGGGGATATTAATATCTTTAAAGAAGATGATCATGTAGCAAATAATGTAGCTACATAGTGTATAGATATTTATATCCATACCATATTTAGCTACTTAAATTATGTATAGGAATTAGGATTTGTAACTATTGGACAGGGTTCGTACGGTCATGAAAAACCTGGAAAAGTAATGGAATTTTAAAATGGCAATTTCCAGGCCTGGAAAAGTTTTGGAAAATGAATAAACTCAGAAAGTTTTGGAAAAGTCATGGAAATTTGTTTTTCAAAAATATCCGTGTACTTGAATTTGTTCAATTGATAATATTGGTTTTCAAATTGCAATATTTTTTTCGTTCGGGCGATCAGTCACATCCCAGTCAGCACAAGTACGTCGGCGCTACGTCGCTGATAAGTTTTTTTAAGGTCGTTATTTAGTAGTACTTCACTCATTTGCACATTGGGCGTTTAAGCGAGCAACACTTTTCAACACCGCG